AACGCGCACACACACACACACACACACACACCCACCCACCCCCAATGCTCATATTAGGAAATGGCTCCATGGCCAAGTTTGGCTGTGATTCAGAGTGCCGCAGCTCAGGGAGGAGTTCAACATCCTTCACCCAAAGCGCAAACATAATGATCAGATATTCTGCATGAGAGCCTCCATTATGCAACAGCATCACATGGACATTCAGCTCCAACGTAAGACGTGCAGAACATGACGTCTCCGTGACAGAAACTACAGGAAATTTAGAAGACAATCAATGCAAAAGAAGTTGAGGCAGGGTGTGGACACTCTCTGTGAGAGTCTGAGTCCATCTGCAATGTTAAACGACCAACAAAATGTCCAGTTTCACCCAAACAGATGTCAGATCAGGCCGGTGTGAATCACCATATTTGGGCGTTTTCCTGTAGTTTACATTGACCAATGCCAAACTCTTTCATTCGTCTTTTTTATTAAGCACTTTACAGGTACACACATAGTCCAAAGTGCTGAGCAATCCACATATAATCCACAATAAAATCAGAATAAATCCTAACAACAGGAAAAGGTTGCTAAGGCTCTAAAAAACACAAACGAAGGTCTTCATTTCCAACAGGAAGTGTATTAGATTATTTAAGGAGCTAAACTAAGAACTGAAACACATTCGAGAACCTAAATGGACTCTGGTTTCAAATTCCCAGACGATCCCGGTAACATATGACATCAGTTTCCGACTTACTGTGAGAAACACACCAATTATGAGCCATATTTAAGACCCTTCGAAATGCTCCCTCAGATCCATAATGCACCTCATATCGGAGCAAAAGGCACTTTCAAAACCTTAGAGGTAAAAAACACCCTTACAAGTCAAGTCATATCTCATACTGTTATGTCTATAATGACTTTGTGCTTTACCATAGAGTGAGTTTTAGGGCTGAGCAATATGACGATACATAACGATGATACAAGTGATCCTCTGGATTTAGATCTAATTATATTGTATGTATAAGTGTTGTCTAGCACATATATCAGTGTCGCAGTGACTTGGGTGCACGTCTGAGCAGAGATTTAAATGTTGGTTGGTTGTGTTTTGTTTAGAGGTTTAAATATTGGTTGATATTGTTCTATTGAGACAATTAAATATGGGTTGTTTTGTGCTGTTTAGAAATTGTAATTTTGGTTGTTTTTGTTCAAATTAGAGATTTAAATATCTGTAGTTTTTGTTCAATTAAGATATTTAAATATCGGTCAGTTTTGTTCTAATTAAAGATTTAAATATCGGTTGATTTAGTGTTAATTAGAGATTTAAATGTTGGTTGGTTTGGTTCAAAATATGGATTTAAATATTGGTTGTTTTTGTTCTAATTAGAGATGTAAATATCTGTAGTTTTTGTTCTATTAAGATATTTAAATATTGGTCAGTTTTGTAATAAAATATTTAAATATTGGTTAATTAGAGATTTAAATATGGGATGGTTTTGTTCTAAATATGGATTTAAATATTGGTTTGTTTTTGTTCTAATTAGAGATTTAAATATCTGTAGTTTTTGTTCAATTAAGATATTTAAATATCGGTCAGTTTTGTTCTAATTAAAGATTTAAATATCGGTTGATTTAGTGTTAATTAAAGATTTAAATATGCATTGGTTTTGTTCAAAATATGGATTTAAATATCGGTTGTTTTTGTTCTAATTAGAGATTTAAATATCTCTAATTTTTGTTCTAAATAGAGATTTAAATATCGGTCAGTTTTGTTCTAATTAAAGATTTAAATATCGTTGATTTAATGTTAATTAGAGATTTAAATATGGGTTGGTTTTGTTCTAAATATGGATTTAAATATTGGTTGTTTTTGTTCTAACTAGATATTTAAATATCTGTACTTTTTGTTTTAAATAAAGATTTAAATATCGGTCAGTTTTGTTCTAATTAAAGATTTAAATATTGTTTGAAAAGACTGTCAAAAGTCTGGCACATGACTGAGCTTTGTAAATTAAGTGATTTAGATAGGGCTGCAACAAACAATTATTTCGATAATCGATTAATCTAACAATTATTACAACCATTAATCGTCTAATCGTTGATAATTTCACTGATTAAACAGTAGGCTTTGTTCTATTAGTCAGCTTTTACAATTAGTTAAAATACTGAGTTACACATTTTCTAACTAATAAATAAAACTTCACTATTCAATGAAGCTTTTCAGAAAATGTCAAAATTGTATTACTATTGTACAAGTATATACAATTATTTTTTACAATACAAACAAACACATCTGGCACACACGAATGAGATGACAGACAGAGAGACTTTCTCATTCACCATTTAATTAACTGTATGAAAAAGAAACTGAATGATTTTCTCTGTCTAGAGATAAGACATTTATTTTTGTATAAATTATTTTATTCACAATATTAGCTCTCTTAAAACACCTTATAGTGTTATAATAATCAAAACAGTCCTGAGCTAGATTAAGCTTTAATCTGTGCAAACCAAACTATCACTTTAAATATAATAACATTATTTATTTATTAATTTATGCATGCATGCATGCATGCATGCACTAATAAAAAGATTGTATCATTAGCTAGCTCCACACTGGACAGCTGCTTTATAACAGAAAATCAAGTTGTAATTCTAAATGAAAGTGACACTGAAACTGTTCAATACTGTAAAGCGGTGTGATTTAAATAAATCTATTGTATAAAGCACCATATAAATAAACTTGATGTGACTGGAGTGCCGACTGCAGAGCTCCATATCGCTATGATCAGATGCTTTCTGAACTGCTGTTTTCTCACCGCTGGCATTTTTGTTGTGTGTTTATTTCGTTATTGAGAGGAAAGCACGCAGCACATATTTACACATTCATCTAAACGCTCTAGAGCTCTAGATTTAGATAATGGTTAGTTTTGTTCGAAGCAAGAGTAAAGAATTCTCAAAAAGCATCAATGAAGATACGATCACTTGTCAGACAGCTGTCAAAGTAATACGTACCTCGGCAGTAAAATAGCACAGCTGATTTTTGTCACCATCTTTTCCGTGCATTGCATTTTCCGCTGAGATGGCAATGCATTATGGGATTTCCCAAAAGATGCATGCTATGCTGCCTTAGAAGAAAGTATCTAATAAGGTCTAACTTTAGGAACACGCATACGTGATAAGATACCCTTAAAGTGCAGCTCACTATGTTTATGTTCATCAAGACTGCGTTATATGTGCTGCAGACGGTCGGCAATGCAATATTGGTGGATGGAAAGTCATGCATAAGGAATATGAAAGTGCAAACACATTCCTGCATGAGGAGTGACACCTGTGAAAACCCCAGGAATTCCCGTGTTCAGCAGTGAGACATCCTGAGTGGGAAATGACCGCCGGGATCCAACGACAAAAACAGCAGTTAGTGCAGCGAAGTTCAAAACCTCAGCGATTCTTATTAGTTGTTGGTTTGTAGTTGTTGCTTTAAAGCACGGCATTCTGGGTGTTCTGCAGAAGTGTGAGCAACACCATCTGTCTGTTTGAGGCTGGTAACGTTACAGGAATTGGCTGTTAGAGATGATGGAGCTGTCAGCGGCTCTGTGGAGGGCTTATGGGACATGCAGAGGAACGCTTTCTCTTCAAAGCCTAGTGAGAATCCTACATTAACAGCACTTTTAGGCATAAAAGTTACGCTCACAAATTCTAAGGCTGCATAACATGTATCCTTTATGGATAAGGCAATCCCAAAATGCATTGCAACAAGCTCAGTGACTTTATAAATATAAAATATACTAATTAAAAATTAATATACATACACACATGTATGAATGTATGTATGCATGTATGTAAATATATATAAATATATTTTATATATTATAATATATAAATATTTTTACAATTTAAAGTAATGGTTTTCTATTTTAATATAATTTAAAATGCAATTTATTTCTGTGATCAAAGCTGTTACTGTATTTTTGATCAAATAATTGGTGAGCTTTTATTTAAAAATATTTTAAAAAACATAAGCAACCCCGAATTTCTAAACAATGGTGAATTTGAATTTCACTCCAGTATGCATAAAATAGTCCACAAAATGGTTTTAATTTCAATAATTTTCTTTTTAGCTATTTAGAGATATTTCTGGATCAGAACGCACAGCAGTTTTCAAACCAATGTTTCTCACCTCTACGATGCTGCGCAGATCCCTGACGTACATTCTCTCCGTCTCGATAATCTCCATGACGACACGATCCACGTATGTGAGCTGAGGGTTGGGCGCCATGGTGACGGTGGCGAATGGCGATGGAGGGTCTGGAGTCGTGACCGATGGTTCCCCAACCGGCCAGTCCAAGCCGAGCAGCTCTGGAGGACTGAGCTCCAGGTCAATATCAGCTCCCACGGACCGTGCTGTCGGCGAGCCGCTGTTGCCCTCGATGGACGACTCGGACGAGACGGTGGACACGGCGTTGACCGACAAGCCGTCCTCTGAAGGCTCAGTGCTGGACAGCGAGTAGCAGTCTGCGGACCGTGGATCGTGACTCCCCACAGACGAACTGGTAGACAGACGATGACATTCTGCTGGAGACAAACAAAACAAGATTTTAGCATGCTTTCAGCATTATTTTTCATCTTAGGGTGATTCATAATAACATAGGGCTGGGCGATAAATCGGTAACGATAATTATCGCGCGATATAAATTTCCCCGATAAACGATAACAAGAGTTATAAATGTTCGATATAATGTTTATGCGGCAAAGGCGGAACGAAAGAGCACTAGTCATTTGAAGCGCGCCACTCGGACCATTTATCGCGGCGCGAGCTTCACTAGAGCAGATGTGTTACTCACTGATGAGTCTCGCTCACGCGACACTGAACAGCGCCGTGAGATCCAGTTAGGGATGTAACGGTATGAAAATTTCTTATCACGATTATAGTGACCAAAATTATCACGGTTATCGGTATTATCACGGTGTTGTTAACATGTGCTGGAGACGTTCAAAAAGTACCGACACATAAATCACTTCAAGTTTTATATTTTAAAATCAACAAACAACAAATAAAATGACTTTTTGTTTGCATAATCACTAAACAATAACATTACCAATGATGTTCGGATTTTAAATGACAACTTGACTGACAACAGTTTAATAGCATGTTGAAATATCTAATGTAGCTAAATGTTCAAATAAAGCTTTGAAAAAGTTTAATAAAAAGGTAAACCTCACATTTCAGCCTTTAAATAAAGAAAAGATTTGTCAAAATTATAACTGATTAATAAATGATTATATGCATTTTATCTGCTCCATAAATAATTCTATATAGCTTTTATTTTTAATTGTTTAAATGTGTAGAATCCACATAAGCTTGTTTTTCATCAACCGGTCAAAGTTTACAGCAGGGCATGCAAATTCGGTCCGTTTTTGGCCAGACAGAAACTGCACACAGGCTGAATGTAAATATAAGTCTCTGTAAATCCACTCTCTGACAGTATTACATGGAGCGAAGATGAAAACAAAATGCCGTCGAATCATTTCTGAATTCATTCATATATTCATTTGTATAATTCCCTTAGCTCTCTTTTAAAACATCCCAGCTTTTCCGCCCTGTTTTCACACAAAACTAAACTACTCTGCTGCTGTCTGCACATGAGACTGTTACTGAAAACTGTGCTTTATGCTGCAAAGTATTTATCGTGAGTTGTTTAAATCGCGGTAATCTAATACGGTTTTAATGATAATTAAAAGATGAAACGGTAATACTAACTGTGGGGAATTTTATCATGATTTATCGTCAAACCGGTAAACGTTACATCCCTAGATCCAGTGTGAAGCTCTTGAATTCAGTGAGGAACACAAATAACACACACAGATGAAACAGTGCTGACAAACAGCAGAAACACTGTGCGCAACGATACAGTCAGAAGACTTTTTAATCTACAAATCGCCATCATTTACCATTTACTGTAGTAGCACTAACTGCACCAGTCCAGTCTGTGCTGAAACTCTACTGTCAATCAAACTATCGTGGGAGGGGTCTGTCTGTGTGACGTCACACAGACAGACATCTGAGATCGGCTCGATTTGAGAAAGGGGTAAAGATCGGAGTAGATTAAAAACAAAAACACTGGGTGGATTTATATCATTATTGGGTGGTTGTGTACACACACTGCCAACACACATTCCAGTTCAAACAACTTGTAAAAGTGCATGTAGCATCCTATGACCCCTTTAAGGAAAAATGACTGGAAAAGTGTAAAGAAAGCGTTCGTCATGTTCTGACCATAAAGAATAGTTGAAAACCACAATTAACCATCTGGTTTTTACAACTTTTACATTGGAGCAAAAATCTGCCTTTAAACTTGAAAGAAATAAAAATTTTTACATTTATCGTGATAATTATCGATATCGACTGATATGGAAAAAAAAATAGATATATTGTGATAATTTTTTGTCCATATCGCCCAGCCCTATAATAACATGATAATATTAATCAAGTTTTTTCATTTAAACAATCTACTAGTGCTGGTCGGTATGACCAAAAATCTGTATCACTGTATTTTATCAAATTTTCTGCCCGTTTCACTATATTTTTTTCTTTGTATTACTAGACTTAGATCAAAAACGGTGGTAAAATCAATTAATAAAACTAACAATTTAGATTTATTTTAATGCAATCAAATTCAAATTGAATAATTTCCTTTATTTTTTGGCAAAGTGCTGCAAGGTTTACTGTTTAAGTTAAAACATTAAAACCTAAAAATTAAAACAAAACAATGGTTCGATATTCCTTTAAAAATTAACTGTATTATTATTATTATTACTACTGCTAATAATAATAATGTCAAATACAAATTTACTATAAAAAATGATGGTAATCAAATCAATTTATAAAACTAACAATTCGGTAATTTTTTAAAACGTAATCAAATGAAAATTTAATAATTCCTTTTATTTTTTGGCAAAGTGTTGCACGACAAATGTTTACTGTTTAAACTAAAACATGGACAAAACAATGGTTCGATATTCCTTAAAAAAATTAAAACCATTGTATTATTATTATTACTACTACTACTAATAATAATAATGTCAAATACAAATTTACTATTAAAACGGTGGCAATCAAATCGAATGGGATGAGACCTGGTTGAGCTGCACTAGAGAAGGCAACGAGTGTTATCACTGTCGGAGACACGCTAGCTTTCCCAAGGCAGACGGACTTAGAATGGTTACAATCATCTGGGGTTAAATCGCGCTCAAATTGATTTGATTTTTACGCAATATTTACACTGTAGCTCGCAGGCAGCTATGGTAAGGGGCATGACATTTCCCGACCAATCACAACACACACTGGCCCAGCTAACCAATCACAGCACACACTGGCCCAGCTGTGAAAAATAATTTGTTTTTCAAACAACCTAGTATGAGAGCCTGTTCTAGTACACCCCCAAAACAAAATCAAGACTTTGTAAAAGAGCATAATAGGACCCCTTTAAGCTGTTTATGCACTTTAATTCAAGAATATGGTCTGGATGGACTGAAGAAGAATTTGCATTGTGCATGTTAGTTATCTAATGCCACTTCCAGATAGTCTTTGACTTCTTCCTGGAGCTGCTTTAATTCCCAGAATCCCTGTACTGTGTTGTGGTTTACTGTAAGTTCATTTTCTGAAATGCTTTTTGACATGCCCTGATTCCTGCTCTTCATACGGACATAAAATCCTCTGGAATGATGAAATAAAGGACAATCTATTGGAGACAGTCTGACAGGGATGGATTTTAGGGTCGCAGGCTGATCTTATACTCAAGTTATTATACTAAAGTTATGAGAGTTATTATGGTTTACAAACATGTAAAATGTCAATAAACACACATCACGGATTGCGCAGTCCTCACTGGATGCATGCAAAAACACAACAAAACCAATATAGTCTGATTCATGAACAAATGACTCTTATGAACCAATCAAAAAGACTCGCAACACTGCAAAATGTGATGTTCTTGCTCAACATTTTTGTCGTTTTCCAGTGCAAATATCTAAATATTCTTAAAACAAGATGCAAAAATGCAAAATGAGAGTGAAAAAATTATCAAAATGAAGTGAATTTATGCTATGAAGAAAAACGTCTGCCAATGATGCACAAAAAAAATTTTTTAAAGGAAAATTTTATTTTTTGAACACAATAGCAAACATTTTTCTTGTTTTAAGCATAAACTCAACTAATTTTTCAACCTAAGTTTTTCTTAACAAGTCTTAGTATCTTAATTCAAAAGGAAAACATTTAGTTGAGATGCAAAATTACAGATATTAAGCCTTGTTTGTTGAGAAATTGTTAAATTAGGCGAGTTTATGCTTAAAACAAGAAAAATATCTGCTAATGGGGGTCAAAAATAAATTTGTTTTCCATTTGAATCAAGTTTAATCTTTTTTTTTTTTTACTCCATTAGCAGATATTTCTTGTTTAAAGGGGTCATATGATGCGATTTCAATTTTTCCTTTCTCTTTGGAGTGCTATAAGCTCTTGGTGCCATAAACTAACTTCATTTTGATCATTTTTTCAGAAAACAAAATTTTGAACTTCAAGTAAATGCATCCTAATTTAAGAATGTTTAGATATTTAGTACTGGAAAACAAAAATACAGAGGAAGAACAGCTTTTTTGCAGTGTTGAGTCTTTTTGACTTATTCATTCAATGACCGGTTCATAAGAGTCATTTGTTTGTGAGTCTGTAACAGTTTGAATCAGTCAGGTGACTCATTCAATGAATCGTTTAGAGAGGTTATTGACTTATTAAACCTTCTAAAAGAATCACTAATAGAATCTGAACCAGAAAGAGAATCGTTAACTAGGGATGTAATGATTAACCGCGAGCCGGTTGAAAATCGATTAAAATATGTGACGATTCAAATCGGTTGAA